AAATAAAATAATTCCTGAATAAGTTATGATCCTGCACCTAAGACATAATGAAGAGCAAGCCCGAGTACCCTCTGCTCCACGAGGAGCTTTAAGGAGGTTAGGTTATAACTGTCCCATACAGACTTGAGACTTTGTCTTGCTGAAGTCCATGTAATGGAATATGAAGTGCAGATGTCCAGGGATGGTCACTTTCTTCTGCGGCAAGATCAGGAGAGCAATTTCTAAGAAATGAAACCTTTTCATGCACCTCCTGACAAGAAGCAGCCGGGAGCAGCCAGAAGTTGCAAGGACTGGGTCCAAGTGTAAAGGATTGGATACTTGGTTGTGGTGGTGGGCCCAAGGTCAATTCACTAAAGTCTAGGTGAGAACCAAAGCAACAATAAAAAATATTGTTTACATATAAAATGGGCTGGATAAGTAGAAGGAACCAAGATATGATGTCAAGTACCTTAGGATGGAGAGGAGCTAAATACAAAGAGGGTGGAAAGGCACAAAAGGAAGACACAACCAAATATTTCCCTGGGGGCTTTATTGGAGGTTTTTCATGCAGCAGCCACGTCAAAAGCAAATAAGGAGCCAACAGAGAGGCTGGTGGATAAAATAAGAAAATGAATGAAATGCCTTAAAAACTGTGAAACTGCACACATGTGAGGAATTGCTCAGAGGCTATGGACAAAGCAGATGAGAATGTCTGAGTACCTACTGTGTGTGAGGCACTGTTCTAAGCTCCTGGTACACAGAGGTGAAAAAAATTAAAATTTCCAGCTTCACTGAGCTAACATTGGTGGTGGAGACAGATAAATGTGTTTGCCAACTATTAAAAAGTGTGATGATTTCACCCAAAAGATTGTCAGCTTCTTTTCAACAATCAAAATATCTAACAGGACTCAGTACACATTCCTGCATGGCAACAAGAGGCTGGAACTAATGGCTGCTTTCTTCAGACAGGGAACGTGGCCTCCAGTTCACTACATACCCGACCACTCCCTAGTGTCTTATACTCTGCCTGCTTCACTCATTTATGCTACCTGTCTGAATCCTGCAGGCTTTCGAGTTTGTGAACCCTGCTCCCTAATGTTCCTGAGCTACTTGTGATACTTGCTTCTCCTAAAACCACCAAATGGTTCAAGATCATAAAAGACGCCATTCTTATGTGAATCTGAATGCCGACTTGCCACTTAACCTGAAGTAAACCTTGGGCGGTTACATCACCTTGCTGAGGTCTCAATGTCCTCTACTTTTAAAATGGGGTTATCATTTCTGCTTCACGGAATTTTTGCATGGACTAGGCTTTACCTAATTCTTTACTCCTCCTTTGGATCTCATCCCTAACATTGCTGCTTCAAAGAAACCTTCCCAGACTTCCTGACTAGATCAAATACACACGTTCTCAGCATCATGTTTCTCTTCTTGGTAGTACCCACTGCCGTTACAAATGTACGTTAATCTGTGGATTATTTGATTAATGCCTGCCTCTCACCAGACTGAAAACCCAATCACGGCAGGGGACCCTGCTTTTGCTCACCACCTATCACCATGCCTGGCACGAAATAGGTGTTCAGTTATTTTATTTTGTGGCTGGCTGGTACGGGGATCTTGACCTTGGTGTTAAAACACTGTGCACTAACCACCAAAATAATATTATTTTATAAAGAAAAAAGAAATGCAAGAATAAAATATAAGCTGTGTAAAGACTCTAATACAACCCCCGGCATATACTAGGTGCCCAATTGCTTCTTTCTGACCCTCCCTCACCTAACGCCTGTTATGTACCTGCTACTCTATGCCTCTGGGCTGCTACAATTTGCACATCAAATTTCAACTAAAACTTTCTCTAAATCTTTTTTTTCTACTTATTTGTTTGTTTATTTTTATTAGCTCCCACATGTGAGAACATGAAGTATAACAGTCACAGTAATTCCTTGAACTTAAGACAACAGATATGTTGATGGGGGTGGGAAAGGGGGGAAAGGGAGGAATTGATAAAGGGCCACGAATATCAACTACATTGTACAATGACTGATAGATAGATAAATAAATAAGTAAGTAAATAAATAAACTTTTTGTGAAAAAGAAAAGTCACTAGGCTGTGTTTTCCAATAGGGTATCTACCCCCTAGAACAAGGATTTCTATTCTGCCTACTGATGTATGCCAAGTACCTAAAACACCTCGCGGCACAGACACAGCACGTGCTCAATAAACACTGGACGGGAGAACGGACGTGGCTCGAGAACAGTCGGGAGACAGGGACAGCACCGCAGGCAGCAGCAGCAGGGAAGACCCCGGCCCAGAGACGCGCTGTGACCGCGCTGAGCCACCCCCATTCCCAGAGACAGCGGCAGTAAGAACGCTGACAGGCGAAAGCACAAGTCCTCGCACGGCCGCCCGAACGAACGCGACCACCCGCAGGTCCCTCCACCGGGCACGCCCGGCGCCGTGCCCTGTCTCTCCGCGAGGGGAGGAAATGTCGCCAGGTATTCGCCGCCTACGGCCAGCCTCTCCCTGGCGGCGATCCCTCCTTCACGTCCCACCATGTCCCTCCGCAAGACAAAGGAGTCCCCGCGCCCCTCTTCTGGGACGGAAAGGATTTTGCGCCGCCTACCCGGTAGCGCTCCTTCGCCTGAGAACTGTCACCCCGCTGCCCAGAGTCTCCGCCTGAGGCAGGACTGTCACTCTAGGGAAGGTCGGCTCAGCACCACTGTGTCCCTCCGCCCCGAGGAAGATCCTCCGCGTCCCCACCTCATCCCTAAAGTCCCTCAGCGGCAAGACACGGTGCTGCGCGCTCTCGCGAGAGTCCAAAACAGTCCCTCCCACCAGCCCCTCACCCGCGAGGGGGCCTCATGCGGACCCCGCGGCGGGGCCGAGCTCGAGGAGTCGGTCGCCGCCCTCCGGGAGGCTTTGCTTCGTCCCACGGCTTTTCTTTCCGCCCGGGCCGAGCCGCTTTGTGACCTTTTCTCGGCGTGCGGAGCCTTTCTGAGGACAGCCAGGGGCCTGGAAAAGCCCGGTGCTGACCTCGGACACCTCCGACCCCCTTAGCGGCCTGGGCGCACCGCCGTGACCCGCGCCCGGAACCGGGGGCCGAGCGGTTTCTGCACATCCGGCCCCACCCACTCGGGGCCTCGCCTCCCTGGAGTCGCCCCCAGGGTACCCGACACACCCACTCCCGGCCTGCACGGCCGTCCGCCTCCTCCCATCTTTCCCTCAGTCCGCCTAATTCCTCCCGGTCCCCCAGCCTCGTTTCTGACATCGCACTGAAAAGGATGCACCCGGGAAACCACAGTGCGGGTACACTTCTTGTTTGGAGAAGAGACCGGGGTTTTGGACCTTCGGGGACGCATTCACCTTTCCAAGGGCCTAGGATAGATTTGATTAATCAGCCCGGAGTACCCTGTTCTCGCTGACACTGCCGTTTCTACCGCCCTACCTTCCCACACTTCTGAGAACGTTAAGCAAGGAGCGCTTGGAGACTTACTTGGGCCCCCACTTTGAGCTAGACGTGAGGTTGACCCCCGAGGTGAACATGGCTGCAGCCCTGGACCCTCAGATCGACGCGCCCCTGGAGGTTGAGGGGTGCCTAATAATGAAGGTGGAAAAGGACCCCGAGTGGGCATCAGAGCCCATTCTGGAAGGATCGGAAAGCTCTGAATCTGAGACTTTTCGCAAATGCTTCAGGCAATTCTGTTATGAGGATGTGACTGGACCTCATGAAGCTTTCAGTAAACTCTGGGAACTTTGCTGCCGGTGGCTGAAGCCAGAAATGCGTTCCAAAGAGCAGATTCTTGAGCTGCTGGTGATTGAGCAGTTTCTCACCATTTTACCCGAGCAGATTCAGGCTTGGGCACAGAAACAGCGTCCGGAAAGTGGAGAGGAGGCGGTGGCCCTGGTAGTACATTTGGAGAAAGAGACTGGAAGACTAAGACAGCAGGTGAGAGAGGATTTTGCAAATTTTTTTATTTAGATAGAAGGAGGTGGGAAAGGCAGGTGGGCAGGGATGCATTGCAGGAAGCGTTCATTATGGGAAGGTAAGTGGTAGTAATAAAAGACCCTTAAATTGAATCCACTTGAAAGGGGGTCAGAATTTCATATGAAGTAGAAAAAATAAAGTTTTGGTTGAAATACTATCTTACAAATGAAACTAAACTTTACACACCTATTTGTCTTAATCTTTGGCATAATGTTTCCAACAAAATTATATGAGAGGACAATGTGGTTATGCTTCACAGGGTTTGACTTTTTCAGCAACAGCTTGATCCTGACGGCTATTTTTACGGGGAAAAAAAATAAAAAAGGAGGAGGAGGACTTCATCAGTTATCCCAGGGCCCTCTCTAATCCTTTAATATTCCAATCAGTGTCATCTGAACTACTCTCAGCGCCATCATTCTTGTCACTCTTTTCCAGTTAAACTGCCAGATCTTCATTTCTCAGTGGCTTTGCATGCTCTTCTAGTTTTTCAACATCCCTTTCATTAATCTCATGAAATCCTGCAGCGTTTGCAAGATTTGCAGTTTCACCTTGCACAGATTTTGCATTGTGAAAGATCTGACTATCAGCAGGTTACTCTGTTGGTCAGGGATAGAAAGGTAGATGTGTGGACTAATTTTCTAAGTTTTCAGTTCACCAGTGAGTATATTCATGTTCTGGTAACATTTACTTCTCTGTGAGCCTAATAGATGTGAGGACTCAAACAATATCTATTCTAGTTACAAGGAGGCTCTGTATTTCACTCCTGACAGATTTTCCCACTCTGCTCCCTTATGCCCAAATTCCTGGATAGTAGTATTAACCTAATGCCCTTAGGGGCTCCATTGGGAATGGAGTGAAATTTTCATTCCTCTCACGTCTGCTGTCCTTCTTTCATATGTTTCTTGGGGAAATTTGTCGCTGATTTGGTCCTCTTTCCCTTCTTTGTTTTCATTATGGTATTGACTTCATTTCCCAGGTCAGCGGCCACTTGGAAAAGCAAGCCCCACTCGGAGCAACATGGGAGGTGGAAGAATTTCAGTCAGAGCGGGTGGAGACCCAACCCAGGGTAGTGTCTCGGGAGGAAGCTGGAAGCCTCCACTCAGGATACCAGGAACAGCTGAACCAAAAGAGAGAGCATTGGCCCTTACCCAAGAATGGTAAGAAGAAGGACTCAGAGCATCCCCAGGGCAGAGATCATAGCAGGTTTATATCATACCCCTAACACTGTGATTTGCTCAGTGTATGGTCCACTCAGTACATTTTTTTAAATAAATTGAATATTTGGGGAGAATGATTTAAGTAGCTTCAAGAATTGGGAACATGTGCAACATAAGTAAAAAGGAATCTTAAAGATGGAAACTGGGGAAACTTAGATTGCCCGGGCCAGCCTTGAGGTCTTGTAGTGTTATTTTAAAAATCTCCATTCTACAATCAGCTTGTGCTTTTTAGTCCTGCCATGTGTGTTTGTGTATGTACTCTTGGCCGACTATAAACAACTTGAAAAACCTGTTTGGAAAGGGAAATAGGACATTCATGCTCAAAAATTAACTCACAAGTTAAGTCATCACAGAAGTGGCCATATGAGAGGGAGAAACAGACCTCACAGAGAAGGGACCACTGACATTCATAGCTGCCCTAGTTGTTAATGAATCAAGTCAAATACAGGGAAATGAACACCCTGTCCTTCCCAATCCGCAATTATCTCTCCATCCCCTGAAGTGTGGCTCCATCTCAGGCTTAAAGAAAGGAATGGAAAGATCTCTGGACTCACCTTCAAAAGATTTTCATTTATATCCTGCCCCCACCCCCAGTGACCTTGGGTAAATAATATTAAAAAGAGCATTAATGCACAGAGGTTAAGAGCTTAGGCTTTAGAGGCAGACAGACCTGGGTTTAAAACATAGCTCTGCCACTTTTTATCTGTGTGGCTTTAGTTTACTTCTCAAACTTTCCATTCTCTCATCTGTAAAAGGGAAATAACAGAGTTATTAGTGTAGATTAAAGGAGATAGCATAAAATGGTCAATGCATAATAGTGCTCAATAAATGTTAGTTTCCTTTCTCCCATAATGGTACAATTGTTTTTAAACTTCAAATCTGACTTACACAACCTTTCACCAAAAGGCAAGATTTACTACTACTGTGTCCCACCCTTTTACCCCTCCCCAAATTTATACTATGATAGAATTCATTGCAAATATTAGTGGTTTTTGAATTATCCAGAGTATGTTCATAGCATCAAAGTTCCCTTGTTCACGTGGATTAGATAGCCCCAGTGACTATAGCTGATAAGCTTAGTCCAGTAAATACCTATTCAATAGTGTTTCTAGATTTTGCTATTCCAGGGTGATAAGGAATTCCTCAAATGGAAAAGTTTGTCATGTTGAGGTACTAACTGGGGGTATGGAGGACAGAAAAGTTGTGTGATATCTCAGAAAGGTGAATTCATTCTAAAGGAAGATCTATGATTTCAGCCATGTGTGTCTTAGGGAATATAATATGTTTCCAAGGAAATGATTCAGTTTGTTTATGTGAAAGTAGTGGAGCAGGCTTTTGAGTTCTTGGTAATAAGTAATGTATATTCTTAAAGTTTTCCCTAGATGGTTCCAGGGAAGAAGTTAGACCACAGATTGTGCTATCCGTACATTTATATATCTTCCTTCTACCTTAGAGGGTTGTATTTGCCTTTGGTGTCGGTAATAAGTAATGTATATTCTTAAAGTTTTCCCTAGATGGTTCCAGGGAAGAAGTTAGACCGCAGATTGTGCTATCTGTACATTTATATATCTTCCTTCTACCTTAGAGGGTTGTATTTGCCTTTGGTGTCCATTACTGTCGGGCCTCCCTAAGCCAGAGGCCGACAAAACCGAGCGGGAAGAGACCCCGGTCCAGCCCGGGGGTCCCTTGTGGGGCTGAGCGGGATGATGAGTGTCGCTGGCACGGCCCTTCCCCCCCAGGACCTTCCTCCCCGGGGGCCGAGAAAGAACACCACCGAGCCAGGAGAGTGGTCAAAGCCGGAACTCCGTTTATTTGCAGGGCGGCACAGCTTATATAGGGAAAAAGGGCAGGGCGGGTTTTGATATGAGAGATCAAGCAAAGAGCCAATAAGAAGGGCTTAAAAGGATAGGGTGAGGTGGTGGGGAGGCTCTACGCGAATACGGAACTAAAGTTGCTGAATCACTGGGACCCGGAAGGGCGAGGCTGGTAGCTACGTGCCGTTGAGCGCTAGTGAAATGGTGGCCGCGGAGCACATGAACTGGCGCCCGTGCGTGTCAGGGCGCATGCACGCAAAGTTATGCCCAACAAAGAGGTGGAAGTGGCTCAGTCAAAGCAAAAGCAGACAGTCAACAGCAAAGTTTTT